GGAAAGATAGAGAGAGAGTGAGTGAACAAAATAAGCCTATACAAAAGCTTTTTGAAAACACTTTTTTATCAGCGCTTCTTAATCTTCTTAGCTTCCAATGTAGTCCCGTCTTTGAGAGCTTGTTGAGCATCGGTTTCCATACCGAGCTTGAACAAGCAAGCCGCTTGCAGATACAAAGCGGTTGGCCATTCTGGAGACACTACCTGTGCTTGCAATGCATCGGTTAGAGCCTCTTGTGCGTTCTCGTTCATCAGATACGATAGGCAGCGCCGTGCGTGAACCGTTGGTGATACCATTGTTCCTCCTTCTATGAACTATACCATGAAACACACACAAAACAAATCAGCCATTTTTTCTTTGAATGACTGAAGATAAACAATATATAAAAAGGGATTCGAATAGGGTTATAAACATGGCTTGCTCTTGGGCTGGAAGTTTTTCGAATCAAGAAATGATTCGGTATTTGCATTTGTAGATATTACCTGAGTGTAGCAATCGACAGCGGTTGTATAATCTTTGGAACGGAACGCTAAGTCGCCTTGCTTCTTCGAATTGAGAGATTCCTGCATCTGGTTGGTCCACATTTGAAACGAGAGCTGCAGAAGAAGATACGTATAAATGATATAATCATATACATAACATTGGAAAGACTAAGATGTGATAGAAAGGAAGGAATAATACCTCGTTGGCAATTCCTTCATCATCCTTGTATCCAATCTTCTCAAGTATTTCATGTATGGCTGTAAGATCTACTCTTAAACACGCATCACCAAAAGACGTCAAAGAAAGTGGTGCATCTTCCTCGATCTCGGTTTCATGTGGTATACCCATAAGATCATATGAAGGTACATCAGATTCCTTCTGGAGTGTGGCGAGTGACGTGACAAGAGATTTCACATTTGGCCTTTCTCGAGCTTCATACTGAAGACAACGTGTGGCTAACCGCACTAGCTCTGTTCCATCTTCGGTTGAGAAATGACCCTCGAGAGCAGAATCCATTAACATTGCACAGTTCTTCCCCTTGATAAGGTCAAGCGCCTGTGTAGGAGCAAGGTTAGAGAGTCACTGAAAGAGAACATGAGTAGGGAAAAACATGATGAACTATCAAAACCAGCAACGACACAGCGATCTTAGCAATAATTATACATAAGAAATCAGGTTCTTAACGAAAAGCCCGCTAGTTTATTTCCAAGAATTATCGAGCGGGACCAATCAGACAGGTCCAACATTACATCTAAACTTTGTATTGGGAGGGGACTTACATGGCTCGGTGGAATATGTTTGCCGCTCATGAGGTCAAGCAAAACGGTTCCAAAACTGAATACTACACTCTCTGGTGTCACTCTACCTGGCACAAGATATAACAAAATAATATAGATTCGTGAGTGGACTTAGCTTTGGGAAAATTTTGGGAGCTAAGGGATATATACATAAACGCGAAGCAGACAGGAGTTTACCCGTTCGCAGATACTCTGGAGGAGTAAATGCCAAGTTTGTGCTATAACTCTTCCCATCTCGGCTATTTTTCATAAGTCCAAAGCAAGACAACCTCGGATTCCCATCCTGGAGAACAAAAAAACTCTTAAGTTGGAAAAGAACAAAACTATAAATCACTGAGAAGGGTCATGAAAAGATCCAATCAAATATTTCACCTTGTCAAACAAAACCCTGTAAGCATTGAGATCATGATACAAAGCTCTTCCTTTATTACTACAATATTCCAAAGCTTGCGCTAAACACAATGCAACTCTTAATCTCATCGCCCATTTCATCGGATGATTCTCCCCTGCAACAACAAAACGAATAACCATTCAAATCAACCGCAGCAGCAAGAACTACACAGATCCTATCAAACAAACCTACACTCTCACTAGCTACTAAGCAGTTGTTGATTATCCGAATCACAAAATCGAATAGCCATTAAAGAAGATAATCAAGAGCAAGCAAGTAAAGTAACTCACAGTGGAAAAGATGCTTAGCAAGAGTTTCGTGTGGCATAAACTCTGCAACGAGTAATCTCTCTTCACCTTCGTAGCAACAACCTATCAGATTCGCCAATCGATCACTCCTCAAGCTCCCTACAGTTTTCGCTTCATCCTAATGAACATTCGCAGATTTCAGACCCCACAAAAAATCAAGTCGAAATCTTTTGCAGAGAGGTTTAAAGGGCATGAAGAAGATTCCGAATACCAAAAACTGTCGATGATCGGTCCAAGCGAGTCGATTGAAGCGTTTGACGGCGATCAAGCGACCATCATCAAGCCTTCCTCTGTAAACAATGTTCGGAGCTTTCTCTCCGTGTTCCGATACAATGTTATCTGAAGAGAAACCTCCGGTCGCTGATTTCAGCTGGTCTAATCGGAACTCCTTAAAACTCGGCCACAATTTCTTCTCATTTTTTCCTCCATTATCTTCCCACAACAACAAAAAAAACCCTCAAAATCAAAACACAAAGATAAGAAAAATCGAGAGAGAAGGGAAGACGAAAAAAGCAGACCGAGATCGGGAGATTCGAGGACTGAAGCGGATTTGAAGTGAGAATGGAACAAGCAGAAAGAGAATTTAGAGCAACGAGCTCCCATTTGATGACTTTTAACGGCGGCCGGCGAATGAAATCAGGTGATCGGAGTTTGAGAAGACGAATCAAAAGTGTACAACAGTTGTCACCGGAAAGTGAGCACTTTTCTCGATTTCGAAATGTGAACAGAGAGAAAGAGAAATTCGTCTGCGCCGATAAGAAA